AGCAGTCAGCCAACAGTGCTAGCTTGACACCTGTCTGCTATGTAGTAATGGTCAATAATTTTYCCCCCTTGATCTGTAAATGCAATACACATCAGTGAAGCCACTAATTCACATTGGTAGCTCATTTTTAATCTGGAAGTTTTACTGAGAGGACTCATAGCTAATTGAAATATACTGTAAAGTGTTTCAAACTAAAGTCAGAAGAAGCACAAAAGATAAAAAAGGTTAAGAAGTTATAACATGTTTTAAATTGTAAATGTAATWTTATGCCATTCTTTTCAGTTGAGTTTTATTTTCACAAAAACCTTTGTCTAATAATCTGGAAGTCTATAGATTTCCAGTGACAAAGWGTACCAGTGAGAGCTCAGTAACCTGGTGATGTTTTGAAGAAAGCAAAAAAAGGGCAGTAAAATAATAATTCAAGCTTAGGAGAGGCTCAGTGCTGCTTCCACTGCAAGAATAAACCTTTTCGAAGAGGACGTTAAAAGAAGCAACACTCAAAGTTAAAGAGCTGTAGAGCAGATTCAATAAATCTGGGGTCCACAGCAAGAGCCAATTTTCCAAAGRCAGGGCTGGAGACCTTGATACAATACACTGGAAGGTCTTAATAAACAAAACTGAAATTGAAATTCTTCTTTCAAGGTAAGAGAGAATCTGTTAAAACATAAAAGCAATAAAATACTGGGCATAAAACAAAATAAAACTCAAAGTTCAATGTTAGGAGAAAAGCTTTGAATTATAGCAGAGTTTTTATTCGTTGTGGTGAAATAAAAGCATAGATGAACCAGTTTGTCACTAGAAAATGAGATTTTTTTCAGATCTTTACATTGCGAAGAATGTTGTAGGATGTTTACTTTTTATAATCAGACTGTGGCCAAAGCCAMCGGCGATCTCAACTCAGTGCACCCAACACGTTCTCACTCCCGACTCGTCAAACTATTGACGCGTGTTCAGGTACAGTCTGCGTACCGTCTGACTGATGTGAGTACTCCCCTCACGTCAGTCATTGCCGCCCCCGGCTTTTCCAGGTTGCACCACATAGGAATCTTTGGGTTGGGGGTCTACGATTATTATGAGGGATCAAGATTAATGGTTAATTTTAGGTACTGAGGTCAGAGATAAGCTGTATAGGGCTAATAGAAGTAGGGCTGCCACAAATGATTATTTTTATAGTCGATTAATCACTGATAATTTTTTTCGATTAATCGACTAATCTGTTCATACGTTAATTGAATATAAAACATACAGCTTTTCGCACCAGAATGCTGCTGCTATTATATAACCATCGTTAGATTTTAGCTATATGCTAACTAAAAATAATTGCTGTGGAAGGCAAGTTCTGCTCTGCAGATATTGCACAGGTTTCTCTTTCATTTTCTTAAAATGATCCCACACTTTGAGCTCTGTTGTCAGGTAGCCATGATACCAGAGCCTGTCTGTATAATGTCTTGTGACGTCCACGGCCTACCCCAGTTACCACTACTGTGCATGTGTGTCAAGGACAGAAAGGCAGATGTGGCAGTGGAAGGTGTCAAAGCAGTTTGGAGAGAAAAACAAAGTAAAGAACAAAAAAAACACACAAACAAAAATGACTAATCAATTATTAAATTAGTCATCGATTATTTTAATAATTGATTAGCCATCGATTAATCGTGGCAGCCCCAAATAGAAGTAAAATTTAAGTTCTGGGATGGTTAGTTGTCATGCATTTCCTACTTTTTTCAAAAATATGACAACGCGCTCCTCCTTCTACGTCTCATCTAGTTAATAACTGATGCGAGGGGGGTACCCGACGTGTCCAAAACTGGACGCAGATGGTACCTGACCAAGCGCCAATATGTTGACAAGTCGGGAGTAAGAATGGGTTGGTGCACCAAAGCATCCATGCTCATGAACGCCTCATACAGCGTTCTACTGCAGTCTGTCTTTCATACAGTGACGATATTACTACTTACACACGATGCAGAAGCAGTGGCTCAAGTAATAAAAATACACACACACTAGATAAACATGACAAGCTTAAGCTAGAAGACATGGACGCCAACCTTCAACAATTCCACTCGCGTTCCAACTCCGTCGAAGACCTCGACCCTCCAGACAACCTTCCAACTGAACTTTCCTGTATTACCTGAAGTCAGATTTGTGATTGTTTTCTAGTAATGTCTTTGTCTATTATATTACCACTGAATCTCTGCATAATCTATGCCGATTGGCTGATCATTCAAGAGAGTGGCAGATAATATTTGCAAATATGTGTGAAGTCCCGAGTGGAGATCACCATTGGTTGAAGCACTCTAAAGTTCATCAGCTTTATGAATGCAGACAATGCAAACAAAACTTTATGGAAACAAAATGGAATGAGAAAAAGAGAGAAATTTGATGTGAAAAGTTTAGGTAAATGGTAAGACTGACTTCATGACGGATTTCATCATGCACTATATTTTTCTTTAAATCATCCTTGAGATTGCACAACATGTTGCTAAATAGCAGCATGGCACTCTGGAGTCCGTCTTGATGCTGTCAGGATTCAGATTTAAGGCCAACAGCATTGTGCTACTCAACATGTTTCACTGGAGTAAAGAACCAAAAATGTGTTGTAGCATCAGTCTAAATAGGAGCCTMGTTAAGTGCCTTTAAATGCACTTTCTGACAATATTACGTTTTCGCTTCATCTGCACACATTCGCTTTAATAATTTATGCTTCCGTCCTTCCTTCCAATGCTGAACCGGAGGAAGCTCCCCGGATCGCTCAGAGTGGGAGAGCACTGGGCTGAGAATAAGCTGCTGCCAAATTCCCTTCCTCCTCCAACCAGCGACTGCACTCACAAGAAACAGGATTAAGCTCCGGTGCGTTTGTACAGATGTTCGTGCACAGAGCAGCGTGACGGGATGAGCATGTGCTTGTTGTGTGCACACACTCGTCAGTTTGTCGAGGTCGACCGTAATGCTGACTTACAAGATAATTACAGTTTTTGCTCATTAAACTGAAGGTTTACTCACAGAAAAGGCAAACCTTTAATTAGCTTGCAGCAACCACACTAAAGATAATTGGCATGCAAACACCTCAAGCTATCAAAAATAAATAACTAGAAAAATCTCAGACATAATTTCCTTTTTTTATAAATACTTTCTGTTCTCTCAGCTTTTAAGGTAAATCTGGCAGTTACTGTCTGCTGGGAGGCCGTGTCAGCTTCAGACCTTTCTGACAGAAGCTGTCAGGGCACATTTGCTTTWTAAGTTTACTTCACTGGGACAATTCATACCTTTTATCATGGAGGAACTTAGCTAAGCTGAAACAAGTTGTTAAATCAACTGTGTGATGAGACAAAGCAACACAAAAATGATCTTTGTACAAACAAGTAGAAAATCTGTTTTGTGAAGAACTATTGAGTGTTTTTTTAATTGTTGATGGGATATGAAAATATATAAACATCTGTTCTTGTCAGTTCTTGTTGTTAATGATTCACGCTTTTTGTGAAGATTTTTATTATTATTAAACCTTTTTGTAACCAGGAAGATCCCATTGAGATTAAAAATCTCTTAGCAGCGCACAGACATGACCAAATCCTAAAATCACAGGAACAAATAAATACATGAAAATAAAAGATCCATTATTGTTCATTTTCTCTTTCTTCAGTAATCACCAATGTACACCATGCATTAAAATGTCACAGTTTGAAATCACTTGTAAGTCAAGCCTACACTAAAGGAACATTTTATAACTAGGGTAGAAGTATTTAGCAGTAAATGACTCCACAT